CGCGGGTGGTGGGCACGTAGACCGGGGAGCTGGCCGCGGCGGCCGAGTGCACGAAGCTGCCGGGGCCGCCGTCGTAGGCGCCGGGGCCCTGGCCGGAGAGGGCGGCGAGGGTCTGGTACATCTCCTCGGACTGCTCGGGGGCGAAGGGGCTCAGTTTGGCGCCGCGACTGGACCACAGCAGCTTGCTGGCGGTCGCGGCCTGGTCCAGGTCAGTGAAAAGCAACAGGTCCTCCCAGCTCGACAGGGCGCTCCCGGGGCCCGCGACCCCGGGCGCCGACGGTCCGTGGGGCGCCCCGAAGGGGTGCGAGGCGTAGGGGCTGAGCAGCAGCGAGCGGGCCGGGGGTCCTGCCGCCGCCTCCGTGTCGAGCTGCGGCGTCCGGCAGTGGCCGGGGCCGCGCTCTCCGCCCCTGGAGCAGCTGGAGGACGACGAGGAGATGGGGGAAGGCGGCGTGGAAGGTTCCCGGGCTGGAAAGGCCCCGGAGTCGCTGGCGGCGGCGGCCCCGATGCGCTTCGGCAGACTCCAGCTGCGGTCAGTCACTGCCATCCACGGTCCGGCGCCGCTCCTAGGTGACTTCTAGCTCCTGGGGCGACGTGGAAGAGAAAGCACAAGGACAGCGGGGTTACCAGAAAGCGCAGGCCCGCGAGAACCTCGCCCGGACTCCGGTTTCTGGCTTCAGGAGACGCCACCACTCCACGGAGATCCGGTTTGGGCCCAAGACTCGGGAGCTGGGGGAGGGAGCGGGCAATGGAGCCTGCGCAGCCGCCCCGGGACCCCGAAAGCACCGGATCGACCACCCAACTGACTCCCGGCACATCTCTGGTCCCCTAGTCCTCCATGCCCGCCCTTCTGCAGCATCCTTACTCTGCGCCAGCCAGATCCCAGGGGTGACGGCCAGACTCCCGAGGTTTGCCTTCTGCCCCAAGTGACTTTTTAAAAATTCCGTGCGTGGCCGCGCGGTCTCAGCTCGCCTCCTTGCGGGGTCCCCCCGCCCGCGGACTGCCCCGGAGGGAGGCTTCCCCGCTTTAAAACCCCCGAGAGCACGAAAGGCAACCTGCCTTCCAAAACGAAACCTCCGCCTTCTCCCAAACTGACTGCTCCCGAGCTCCGCGTCCTGCGCCGCCGACGGGCGCCAACGGGAGCCCCGGAGAGCAAGGCAGTGTAGCCCCGGGAAGGTGGGGCACCGGGGCGGAGACCCGAAGCCCGGGATCTTCCAGGCACACGCTCTGCCGCCGGCGCCCGGGTCTCACGCGCAAACCGCTGTCCCCGGGTGTGGCGCACCTTAGACACCGCCCACCTGTGCGGCCCCCAGCACGCGCGCGGCCACCGGGCCAGGCCCCCCGCCGGGCCCACCCGGGCCCCATCCCCGGCCGCGGACCGAGCAGAACGTGTCGGAGGCGGACTTAGCGGGGTGGCGTGGAGCTCCGAGGAGAAGAACCCGCCCGGCAGGCGAGGAGATCGCCTTGGAGCGAGGCCACCCCAAAGGGGAGAGAGCGGCAAGAATGACAGGCGCCCCTAAAGGGGGTGGAGAGGGAGAAGAGACATGCAGTCGGGGCTGGCCTCCTCGGGGAGTGCTTTCTCAAGGCTCTCGGGCTCCTGGGCGAGCATCACGCTAAAATGAATGCCCCCACATAGTCCTGGCTAGATAGCGAGACATAAGTTTCCCTGCCCGCCCGACTCCAGGCTCCCGCCCCTTCGCGCCGAGATAACTCGGAGATAAGGCTACGCGCAGATAAGCGCTTCCAGGGGCGGAAAAGACACCAGAAGGTGGGCCGGGGTGTCCCGAGAACCCGGGCGCAGGCACCGACCGCCGGGAGAAGGAGGAAGCCTCCGGGCCCACAGCGGCCGGCAGAGCGCGGGAGAACCCGAGGCCCCAGCGGCCCGTGCGGCGGAGCGGGCTGGCGGGGAGCGGAGCGGGGCAAGCGGGGCAGGGAAGATGGAGCCGAACCTCGGGTGGGCGCTGCGCATGGAGAGTCGCGGCGGCGGAGAGAGCTCGGGACGCAGGGAAAGGCCGAGGGCGCCGGCGGGCGAGCGCAAGTCCGGGGTCTGGGCGGCGCGGCTGGAGAATAAAAAGGAGAGAGGAGGCGCCTCTTACCGCTCCGCCGGAAAACTGCAGCCTGCGCTCCTGATTGGACTCGCCGAGCCCTAAACAAACAGCGCTGGCCGATGGGTGCCCGGCTGTGGGTCGGAACTGCGCGCTGCTAGCAGCTGTGCGCTGGAGGTGAAGACCGGGCGGAGAGGAGGAGGAGGAGAGAAGGAGGAGGAGGGAGCGAGGGGGGAGGAGAAAGCAAAGGGTGGGGAGGGGACCGCGGGGGGAGGGGAGCACGCCGCTGCGGGCAGACAATGAGCGCCGCGCAGCCCGCGGGCGTGGGCCGGTCCCAGAGCGCAGACCCGGGAGTGCCAGGGTGTCCACCTAGAGGGCGTGGGGCCCGAGGACGCCAGGGGAGGGGCGGAGGCGGCCGCACGTCTGACCTGGCCCGCAGGAGAGCCGCCCCGATCCCGCTGGCCGCAGCGCTACCTCCCACCCCCACCCCCTCGCCCTCGGAGACGCACACGCGTGGTGGGGGGGCAAGGAGAGCTGCGACGCTGGGGGGGCTGGATCAGCCGAGCCCCGCGCCGCGATCTAGCCCAGAGAATTCGCCAGCTCCTGGGTCAGCGCGCCCCAAAGCTAGGGGGCCCTCTCCAATCCTCCCTCCCCAAAGTTACAAGAACTTTTTGCTGCGAAGTTGTTTATGACCGAGCTTAAACTCTCCCCGATCCCTTCTCGGGACACTGGGGTATCGCATTGGCCGTCGAGGGTCGTCCCCCCTTCCCCCCAACGATTTAGGAGTAATGAAACTCGGGGGCACAGCTCCAGCTCGCGTGTGCTGCTCTGTAGGTCTCCCCTGCTCTTCAAAAACACAGTACATTCCTGGGGTTCGGGAAGGTCCACTCCCCAGCTAGCCTTTGGGAACGTCTAATTCGCGGTGGTCTTGTGGTTAAAGGTTAGCCACTGGGGGTGTACTTGAAAATACCTCCACGCCAGCGTGGTCGGGGCCCCTCTCCTTTGTGAAGCCCTATGTGCTCTGAGAAAGAGCTTCAGGTAATGTGATGTCCCGTGTGCTCTGAGCTTTCCCAGGAGAAAGAACCTCAGGTAAGTCTGATTAGCCTTTGGAAAGGGGATTGGGGGAGGTCACCTCAGGATCCAGAGGGAAACCACCGCACCCCTCCCCTCCCTCCGAACACACCCCGTCTTCGCTCCCTCCAAATGGTTATCACAAGTGCGTATAAACTGATAGGATCCCGAGCGAGCAGAGTGACTGGAAATGAACGTCGCGGGGTTATCAGCGCCGATCTGTCAGCAAGGACTCTCGCGGCCTCGGGCTCGTCTGCCGCGGCAGCCGTGATGTATGTCTCGCTCTTTTTCGTTCACAAAAAGGATCTCTTCCGACAGACGAGTCCCCCAGAGGCTACCGAGAGAGAATTTAATTAGGACAAGAGTTGTTTTGTGCGAACGGATTTCTACACTCCCACCCACCCCCAGGTAAATCGAAGTCAATGATTTTCTAAAGGTCAGTCTTTTTGAAAGCACTTGAGATCTGGGGGTTTTTTAAAAAATATTGTGTGTGTGTGTGTGTGTGTGTGTGTGTGTGTGAGTTTTCAGTTGTGGCCATGAAAACAGCCCAATCAGAGTTGAGCCGGGGTAGGTAAGTGTAAAGTGTCCTTTCCAGGAGTGTATACTTTTCATTGAACTGCCAGTTGTGAACCTGGCGGGGAGGCGGGGAGCGTGGGGGAGGGGGCACGGAATCGGGGAAGTTGGCGATAATTCATCTTTTTTCATTGATCGTTGTAAATTGCCACTAAACACTTCTGAATTTTAAATAGCTACTGAGAAAATCCAAAAACCGTTCTTGTCCAATTTAGTCATTTTTATGACATTCCTCCTGGCCTCTCCCAATCACGGCGGCAGCTCCCGGGTTCTGCGTGGCAGCATTTGGGAAACGTTGAAGGCAGAAAACTCTGGAACGGACATTGGCGGCTGAAGCTGGATCCAGGAACTTTAAATTTTAACCTCGGTCCGATCGATAGAACATATTCGGGCGCCTGCTGGCCACCCCACTCCTACCAGGGCTTCAAAAGGCTGCCTTCGGAGTTCGTTCGTGAGTTCTGATCACATTTCGAAGTGGGGTGGGTTTGCCAAAAGTTCGTTTGTAAGCCATTTAAAAAAAGAGTGTGGACGTTTGATTTCTTTTGAGTACAAATGTTTGGAAATCATGCGCCTTGGTTTTGATATTAAAAGCAATTTTAAAAAGAACTAGATCTCAGCGAGGTGATTTCCAATGAAGAGTTAGTAAATGCATGCGTAATCTAAGTTAGCATTTATTGCCTCCAAGCCTGAGCCGAGGAGAAGGAGCCCCTGCTTAAGGTTGACCCGTGTCGTGTATTTCTTATATTTGCAAGTACGAGAGGTGTCCGGGAGGGAGGGCCGTAGCCAATGAGTCCGGATTTCCCCCAGGTCGACCGCACCGTTGGGAGGCGCGCTGGCCCCCCGGAGCGGCTGGGGCAGTTCTTAGACCCACTCCAAGATGTTAGGGTATTCGGAGCTCAAGAAGGGACCCAGCATTGCCCCCTCCAGACTCCTCTTCTCTCTTGTCTCTTTAGTATTGCCTGAAACAAAAGGGGAAAAGATCCTAGGGGCGGGGGTGGTGGGTGGGACTCATTGTTTGTTCCTCTGCAATGTCACAAATTTTATTTTCTTTAGTCTGGCTTCCCAACCAAACGTGGGAAGTGAAATGTGGTTTTTTTTTGTCCCTTCATTTAAAAATAAAACCGTTTACGCCGAAGAGTTGACTCAAACAGAAAGTCGGACTGCCTGACCCCCTCCGATGTATTGTTTTCTAAGCGCGTCAGTTCATTTTGGCATTGAGGAAAGCACCCCGGGAGGGAAGCGTCACATTTTCAAAGGCACCCACCCGCCACCCTCCCCAGGCCTTCAGGGCTGCACTTTATAGGCGTGGCCCAGCCGGCCTGACCAGCAAGCAGAAAAGGGGGATGCAAAATGGAAGTGAAAGCGTCCCCGCATTAAAGGAGCCCCCAGAGTTGGTGAAAGTTGCCTCTCCCCGCACCCCCACCATCCCAAAATGCCCAGGGAGACCGGCAGACTTTTGGGAGTCCGGCTTTCTTGGCGGGTGGTGTTTGTATTTTCCCTGCTCCTCGCTTGCCTTCTCATGTGCAATTTGCAATCTTGAAACTTGCTCTTGAGAACATTTAGACCCATGCAGGGGACCCTACTCTGCGACCCTCCCCTCCCTGAGTCCCCCAGGAGGAAGAACTCCAGCGCGGCCGGTGCCCGAGGCTGTTTCCCAAGGGCCGCGCCTCCGCCCTGCGGCCCTGCCCGGGCTTCGAACCCCGCGGTCACCCCGCAGCAGACGCGACTGGCGGCGGGGACCCGGCTTCCGGAAGTCGGGAGTGGTCTCGGGTCCTAGCCACGTGCTGCTCTGGAAGGGCAGTGCGCCCGGGGGCCCAGACCCGCGTCGTCGGACACCGTTACCCCTGCTAACTCCGGCTCCTTAAGTTACCACTTCTCCCAGGCCGGCGGCTCCAGTGGCCACGTTGTAGAAAGCGAGAGAACAGCCCTTTTAATTTTAAAACGTGATGTGTGATTTTAGATAAAAAATAAGAACTGGATTAACGAGACCTTCTCGAGTGAGACCCTATTTCTTCCGGTCCAGGGAAGGCATTCACCGCAGGACACCAGGTCACCTCTGTGTCCCCGGCCAGCGTCCCGGGCCCACTCACCCCGTCGGGGCGGGGAGCCCACCCGCTCCGCGGCCCCGAGTTCGGACAGTCATTCTCTTCCCCCAGCCCCGGCCCACATTTTTAATTCGATGGAAACAATCCAAAAAATACAGTTTAAGAAACTTCAGGTGGCGGCAGCGGCGGAAGCGCGAAAGCTGCGAGGCCGAGAGGTCGCTCCCAGGCCTCGGGGC